GGGGCCGCGCTGCCCACAGACCGCTCCGGCCGGCAAAGCGCCGCGCAGGACCCGGGGCCCGGCCGGACTCCGACCGCAGTCGCCGCAGCTGCCGCCGGAGGCCCGGGTCCCTCCACAGCGACTCATCTGTCCCCTTCACCGCGACCCGCTCCCCTTGCGGGAACGGCGCCCTCCACACTCACCATTGCCCGCCTTCTGGGGTTCCCGGGGTCGCCTCAGCCTGTAGAACGGAGATGTCACAGCGAGGAGGCTGAGCCACTTAGAAGTTCTCTTCAGAGGACCCGCTGGACACACTATGGCGGCCCAGGAATGAAGCCCATCCGAAGTGGAAGGTTTCCATCCTCTTCCAGCTGCGCTCCTGATTGGACAGTTCCTGCGGCCCCACCCCATATCTCTGATTGGCTAGTGTTCCAAGCCCCGCCCCCGAGTCCTGAGTGACAGCAGGATAGAACCTCTACCTGGCTGAATGGAACCCAAGAGGTGGTTTCCAGCTCCAGCCCTTCCCTGCCTGAGCTTCTTATCAGGGCCTGCACCTGAGCTAACGGGAGGGATAATTGCACACGTCCATACAGGTCCACTCTCCGAGGTGTGGGAATACCTATATAAACTAAATATAGTAAACACTATGTGAGATAATTTTATAAAATATAACTTTTAGGACTATGGATTGAAACCAGAGCCATTTAACCATTGAGCCCCATGTCCAGCCCTTTTTTAAAAACACCTTTATTTTATTTATTTCCCTTCTTTTATGTGGTGCTGAAGAGCAAACCCATGCCTAGGCTCTATCACTGAGCAACAACCGCAGCCCCAATAAAATACAACTTTAAATGTAACTACAATATATTGATATTGCTAATTACTATTAATCACGTAGGACAGAAGAGGCTGGACGCTCAGAGGAGTTTTCAGGAAGCAGGTTCATTGGCTGCAGCTGGCTGGTCCAGAGCCGGTGCACTCCCTGCATTCTGGTTGAGCCACCTTTTTGGGGTCCCCTAACCTGCATGGCTGCTGCCCATGTGGGTGACCATGCTGCTTCCTGGAGGGAGACAGTTTCATGGCCATGTTTCCATGTTTGTTTTTCTTTCCTCCTGTTAGGAGTCCCCTTTCCTTCCATCTGTTCACATAAGCATAAAGGACTAGTGGTCATCTTTTTCATGGCTGTGACCAAAAGACTTTACAAAATCAATTTTAAATTGATCAATTTTAGAAGAGGAAAAGTTTATTTGGGACTTATATTTTCAGTCCACAGACACCCCTTAGGCTCCATTCCTTAGGGCGCAAGTTGATGCAGAACATCATGGCAGAATTGTGTGGTTGCAAAAAGCATCTGGGTTCAATTCCCACTACATCTCCCACACAAAAAGGTTCCTAGGCAGAGTAACAATGATTGAGTATATGCATGAAAAGTACACCAAATCATACTTATTTAAAGATAAAACACTCTACAATTAAAAGACCCATGTCCTTGTTAGGGTTAAAAGAAAAAAAAAAGACCCAAATACAATGTTAAGTATTTAAGAGTGTAACAAACAATCAAAGGTTTATACCTGAATTTAGGTTAACTTGATGTACTCTACCGAAATTTAATAGAGTTTGAAGTTAGCCAAAACCTACAAGCCAGGGGTTGAAAGCAATTTCAACCCTCTTTCTGCCCAAACTCAGAGAATCTGATTTTCACAGCTACCATTATAGCTATTCAAATATCCACTTATCAATAACAGTAATAACAAAAAGAATAAATAAATAAAAAGAGGAAAATAGGGCTTATCAATGAAAACAGAAATGAACTGAGAGAAGCCATTCCTGAGAAACCTGAGGTTTTGACCTTAGACACAGACTGTCAGGCAACTGTCTTAACTATGCAGAAAGTGGTAGAGGCAACCATAGAAAAAGAGCTAAAGGTCACCAGGACAATGATGTATGAATAGCGTGATATCAGTACAGACTTAGAAGTCATCAAAAGGATCACATAGATATTTTGCAGGTTCAATGTAGAACAATTTCATAAAACCATCCCTGTACGTGTTCCATGTCACACTGGAGCAAGGAGAAGAAAGAATCAACAAAAATGATGCCTTTTAGGAAAAAGTTATCTAGAGAGAAGCGAAAACACGTCGTGAGAGTGTTCACATAAAGAATGCTAGTAAAGAATTACATAGAAGTACAATAAAAACTTTATACTTTCTTTATTCCTATCTGCATCAACATATGTTGCTTCAAATTGATCATATCAGCAATCTATCTGGTAGTTATACCTAATGGGTAGATAAAACAAATTACAGCAGTTATATATGGCATGGGAAAGAGACCTGAGAACAAACGAGGACACGTGAGGTGTTTGTAAAACAGTACTCTGTTGTTTGAAGGTACGCTGTGATTAGTTGTATACAGATATGGGGGAGGTACTAGAGGTTAAACTCAGGGACACTTTACCACTGAGCTACACCTCCAGCCCTTTTTTTATCATTTTTGAGACAGAGTCTTGCTAAGTTGCTAAAGCTGGCCTTAAACTTGCAATCCTCCTGCCGCAGCCTTGCAAGCTGCTGGGACTACAGGCACCACTACATCTAGCTTAGTTGTAAATAGATTTTGATAACTGTACTAAATTATTTAGAAACATATTTGTTTAATTTAATTAATAAATCAAATTTAGTGGATATCCTTGTGTAGAAGAGAAAATGTGCTTACAAATATGGTACTTTTTTTTTCTTAGTTGTGGATAGGTAGCTGTTTTATTTTTTCATTTTTTTCAGTTGTTGATGGACCAATGTCTTTTATTTATTTATAGTGGTGCTGAGCATCAAATCCAGTGTCTCACACGTGCTAGGCAAGCGCTCTGTTATGAACTACAATCCCAGTTCTACATTACCTTTTTGTTATTGTTGTTAGTTGTGAGACAATAGGAAAGTACTTTACTTATTTATTTAACAGTAGGATGCATTTTGACATATTTTACACAAATGGAGCACAATTTCTCATTCCTTTGGTTGTACATGGTGCAGTCACTCCAATAGTGTAATCATACATGTATATAGGCTAATAATGTCTGTCTCATTCTACAACCCAGCCTTTCCCCTCCCACCCTTCTACACAAACCAAAGTTTCTTCATTCTTCCCTATCCCCCCACCACACAATGGATCAGCATCTACTTATCAGAGAAAACCTCAGCTTTTGTTTTTCTAGCATTGGCTATTTCAGTTAGCATGATATTCTCTAGTTTCATCCATTTACCTGTAAATGCCATAAGTTTATTCTTCTTTAAGGCCGAGTAATATTCCATTATGTATATGTACCATATTTTTATTATCTGTTCATCTGTTGAAGGGCATCTAGGTTAGTTCCACAGTTTACTATCGTGAACTGAACTGCTATAAACATTGATGTGGCTGTGTCACTGTAGTATGCTGATTTTAAGTCTTTTGAGTATAGACCAAGAAGTGGGATAAGCTAGATCAAATGGTGGATCCACTCCAAGTTTTCTGAGAAATCTCCATACTGCTTTCCAGAGTGGTTGCATCAATTTGTAGTCCTACCAGCAGTGTATGAGTGCACCTTTTCCCCCACATCCTCCACCAACACTTATGATTGCTTGTATTCTTGATAATTGCCATTCTGACTGGAGTGATATGAAATCTTAGTTTTGATTTGCATTTCTCTAATTGCTAGGGATGATGAATATTTTTTCATATGTTTGTTGATCAATTGTATTTCTTATTCTGAGAAGTGTCTGTTCAGTTCCTTAGCCCATGTATTGATTGGGTTATTTGTTTTATTGGTGTTAAGTTTTTTTAGTTACTTATATATCCTGGAGATTAGTGCTCTATCTGAGGTGCATGTGGTAAATATTTTTTCCCATTCTGTTGTGGTATGAACTGATTAACACAATCAATAAGAGTGTAAGTTATAGTGATAGATTAGTAAAAAATACAGATTATAGATATAAGATTTTGATAAGTGAGATAAGACAATTATAAAGCAAGAACTGTGATAGACAGGTCTAAGACTCCATTTTGTTGCTTTCTATAAAAAAAACTGTCACAAGAGCTGTTTCTAAGAAACTTGGTACCCCACCAATTATACCCTATTCCGGATGCAGCACTGGTCATGGTGAGCTGCATCCTGGGTGTGAATGCCCTTGTGGGTCTACATGACTTTGAAGTAGATTCTCACCTTGCTGACCCCTGCCCAAATTCAGGATGCGACTGTCTAGCACATGCTTGAACCCGGGACTGTGGTCAACTGAACTGCAAAGCTAGCTAATGCTTTTTTAGCTTCTGTTTATCCCTTGCTTGCTGATTGGGAAATTCCAGTCCTGCCCAGAGCCCACAGGTCCCACTTGTTAATATTTTAATTTCTATGACTGGCTAGCTCACATGACAATAAGCGAGTCACTGTGTGTATGTGTGTGTGTGTGTGTGTGTGTGTGTGTGTGTGTGCTCATCTTCTCTTTGGATGGACCAGGAAGCTTCTGTCCTCCCACAGAGCTCGAGTCTCTACAGTGGGTGACAGTCCCTGGCCAGGTCAATAAAGCTCTCTTTGGATTTGAAATTCAGACTCAGGGTGTTTTTCTGGAGCGGTTCCCAATAACAATTCTATAGGTTCACTCATCACATTGATGGATTCCTTTGTTGAGAAGAAGCTTTGTAGTTTGTATCCATCCCATTTATTGATTCTTGATTTTACTTCTGGCACTTTGGGAGTCTTGCTCAGGGAGTCAGTTTCTAAGTCAACATGATAAAGACTTGGGCCTACTTTTTCTTCTTTTAGGTGTGTGTGTGTGTATATATATATATATATATATATATATATATATATATATATATTCAAATTAAACCTCTGTCTATGAATTAAATAATAAAATGTCTATCTCATTTTACCATCCTTCCCATCTCTACAACCCCACCCTTGTCCTCCCTTCCCTTTACGCAAACCAAAGTTCCTTCATTCTTCTTGGAGATATCATTCCAAATATCTAAATATATATATTTAGTTGGGGATGAGCTTTATTTATTTTTATGTGGTGCTGAGGACCAAACCCAGTGCCTCACACATGCCAGGCAAGCACTCTACCACTAAGCCACAACCCCAGCCCTAATTTCCTTTTGCTACATAGGGATTTCCAGGTTTTCAAAAATATCTTTATTTTATTTTTATGAGGTGCTGAGGATCAAACCAGTGCCTCACACATGCCAGGTGAGCGCTCTACTACTTGAGCCAAATCCCCAGCCCCATGGATTTCCAGTTTTCCCAGC